ATGTGGAAACAAATCTCCGCTCCCTTTATCTCCTTTAACATTCACTCTGTTGGCCTGTTCCCGTCTTAATGAAACAATGGAGCAGTATTACCAGCGGCTCATCCTTGTGATCCTGTCTCCCTGGGGTGCCAGTCCCCTTCCAGTTGTGTTGTGAATGTAGGTCGACTGCGCTGTGGTTTAGCGGGCTTGTTGTTTGTTTGGATGAGGAGTTTTAGCTCCGATGAATCATCGACTCAGAGACATAAACGTGTTTACCGGTGTGGCAGACAAGAACTGGAGGCACCTTTCTGTAATAGACTTATTAATGAGGATAGCCTGTTGGAAAAAAAAAATCAGTATCAAAATGCATAAATATACAACTGTGGTAGCTTGTTTTTCTTTAACCTGGTTTTCCTCTTTGCATTTTAATTTCCCCTCTAAACCTTTGATACACTTGCCAAAAGTTCACAGGGGCACCAAAAAAGTGTGGGTTTTTTTCTAATAAATTGGGGATGCCAGGCAAGAGAAGTGTGAGGGATTTTTATTTTCAATGTGATAGTTTTATGCCATACAGACCTACCTCATGAGAAAGTTTGAAGTGCAAACACCTCCATTTAAAACAATTTTCCCATAAACCATACAGTACTATATCAGTGGGTTAAGGTTAGGGTTAGATGACTTTAGAATGACTTTACCTGATAGTATCTCACAGGTATATATTCACAGCCACACATGTTGACCCCCCCATGTAACATTTTTCTTTTTTCATCTGTGTAAGACTGCCAGCAGTGACCATTAAACAAACGGACAAACCCCCTTGCTCGTTACGCCAACGATTTAAGGTTGTTGTTTGCCCCAGAGTTATTACCCATACAAAACATTCGATTTTTTTTCACTTCCTGTCTTGCACGTTGCAGTGTTTTCAGACGTTATGCTAAGCTGACAGGTTGCTGGCACCAGAAAGACGTCGAGTTTACGTACACAAGCATCAATCCTCTCCGGACGACAACAAAAGAGAGCATATGTCCTCAAATGTCAGACTTTTTATTTTCATATTGATCTCACAATACAACGTGGCTTTTTATTATCCCTCAGCCATCTGTATAACATTTCTTAGTTGTCCTGCAGGGACTTGCTGTGATATTTGCCTCTCTCTGAAATGTACTTAAGATTCACTTCTGATGTTTGTCAGAGAACAGACTCCCTAAAACATCATTTTACTTTTTTTTTTTTTTTTTATGAGATCTATTGCCTCGCAGCGTTTGAAATCTTCACTCTGTCAGCTTGTTGTTCACAGACCTGACATGGTTGAACACTTTATCACAATATTCACTTGAAGCACATTTTCAAATTGCAGAAGGCTGCACTTTTTCCTGTGAGAAAGACGTTTCAGACAGCATCCTGAGCAACACATTTTGATGTAATGCCGAATCTGTAGCCTGTAAACAATGCATTTTCAGGAGGGAGACTCATTCATTTTACTCGAACTAAGCAGCCGGGCATTTTCTGAGCATCTTTCAAAGGCTGAGGAAGGAAAAACTGTTCTGTTGTACTCCAACCCATATCTCAGCTGCAATATTGAGCACAAAAGAATCGCAATAGGCCTGTGATTTCTTTCTTTGTCAGCACTATACAGCCCAGAAGAAGCACAACCCTTGTTCCAAATGGATCAACAGACCACGATAGATCTGTCTCCTTGTCTTCACTTCTGTCCGCCGGTCCATTTATCCTTCCATTTATTCACCCGTGTGTTGCAGCGGGCAGTGTTTTCATCTGAGAAACGGCTGAAGAACAAAAAAACAAGGAGAGAGGGGAAAAAAAGAGGGCAGGGTGTTTGGAGCGGAGCAGAGCCTTATCCCTCTGACACAAAAGCTCACGCTGATCCCTGGAACACAATAGAGCCAGCCCGCTGCACCCTTGGGCCAGGCAGCAAATAATGCCCATAATGTAGCATGTCTGTGACTGCTGGAATCCCCCGTGGCAACACTTGTCCAGCTTGTACAGGACTTTGCCAGAGACGTGATGCCAGGCAGTGGCCTATAATTCCCATTTATAGATGCCAGATCCTGGCACAAGTCATGCATTATTCTTATTCTCTCTTTCAGCTCGACTTATGGACAGTGAGGGATGTTTTTAAACCTTGATTTGACAGCTGGTCTTTTTGTGTAATATGGTCTTATTTGAACCTTTTATTTACCGTTTTAGGTAGCATACAACACAATATATACCTGCTGAGTTAAAGAGGACCTATTATACCCCTTTTCCACCATTTTAAAACAGTCTCCTGTGGGCTAAATGAAACATCTATGCTGTGCTTTTATCAAAATAGAACATGAATAAACCACCAGAGGAGGTTTGTGACCCTGTTTAAACCAGCTCTCTCAGAACACTCTGTTTTGGTGTGTGTGTCTCTTTAAATGTAATGAGTTTTTCCAGTAGACATCACTCCTCTGTAGTGAGAATATAAATGGCAGACCTGCACAAAAGTGTTGTTCTAGGCTGGGGGTGGAGTCCATGGGTGGAGATATCAGGGAAGGGGAGGTATTTTTGTTACCAAATCCAACTTGTGACAAGTTGAGCAAATTTGAAACGTTTTGTCTGTGCGTTAAGACTTATGCAGACTACAAACAAAGGACTGCAGATTTGTTTCACATTTTGTGTGTAGTAGACACTCAGGTTACACACCTGTAAAAGTGGATTTTTCATAATATGTCCCCTTTAAGGGATAATGACTGAGAGGTGTCCAGTATCGGTTTTCATGGATGACTTGGAGGCCAGAACCAGAACAAACCAATAATAGAAACCTTTCAGCTTAAACTATGGTGAGAAAAAAACAAGAACTTTCTGTTTTGTTTCCTGTATTTCTCATAGTGTTGTAGTCAAGACCACACTAACTGAGACCAAGACACACCCAAGACCGGAGAGCTCAGAGACCGAGACAAGACCAAGACCATAAATATCACTGACAAATCATCATCTTGTGTGCCCGGGCGTGTCACTCTCTTAAACCGTAACACTGGGAGGGTTGCGGCCGTAACCGTGTTTATAAAAATCTAATTATGAATGAATTAAAGTGAATTGTTCTTTTAGAAAGGGGAGTTTTCCTTATAGACACGATGATGTGGAAAAATAGCTTTTCAGTGGTGGTCTTGAACGGTCTTGTTTTAAATTCCAAGTCAGACCAGTCTGAGACCGAGACAATGCTGAGTAAAAATGCTTTCGATTCCGAGACGAGGCAGAGACCTTCAAAAACTGGTCTCGAGACTATTTCAAGTACTTCAACACTAATTTCTCAATTTAAATATAAAGATTTAAATAGCCTGTAACTCTGCTTTCCTAAAGCCTCTGACAATTACTTGACAAAGCCATACCTATCTAATAATGTCCCAATGCAATGGAAACATTGTTCACTACTCCAGGAAATAGAACGTGTCCTCGCTACAACTTAGATACAGGAGATATTTATTCCAAATCTCATGAAGTGTTTTGATGAGGAATAATTTGTTTTGCTAACATTTAGAGTTGTTAATAAAAAAATGTTTCTATTTGTGGACCAACATTTTTAAAGTCCAGTTCTCAGGATTAACTGACACTCTGCAGCCAATCAGAATCAAGTATCCACTCAGACTGTGGTGTGATAGTTTATATTTGACTGGCAGCACCTACAAACTCATCTGATATCATTTTCATCTTCTCTGATATTTTCTATAAATTTGTTCTGTCCACACGCACCACCTCCCCCCTTCTCTCTCTTTTGTACAATTCCCCCGTGAAAGATGGACAGTAGGAACCATCTTCCTGCTGACCCAGTTTTGAGTTGATTGGCCGATACAAAGATACACCGCCGACACATCAAGCGAATAAAAACAATATTAATAGAGAAGGAGAGAATTTACTGAAAACAGTCGGGAGTTCATTGACATACTTGCCAATACCTCATTTTAGGCAATCTACAGATACCAGTATCAGTAGGCTATCAGAACAACTTTTTAACATTTTGCTCATTTATCATCATGGGGGCGCTGGAGCTGATTCCAGCTGTCATTGGGTTAGAGGCAGGTACACCCTGGACTGTTCGTCACTTTAGAATCACCAAATAATCTAACGAGCATGTATTTAGACTGCAGGAGGAAGCTGGAGGACCCGGAGAGAACCCACACACACACACAGGGAGAACATGGAAACTCCACACAGAGAGGCCGGCACTTTCCAACGAGGATTTGAACCAGGAATCCTTGCTGTGAGCCAACTGCGCTAGCCACTGCACCACTGTGTAGCCCCTATCATTCTATATATTGTGGTGCACCCAAAATATACTTCCCAACCTGTGCATGTGGACTTTAATGAACTAGCATGAATACATACAAGTTACGGCTTATTAGGCTGATTTACATACAGGTGTTGTTGTATTCATTTAGCTTGTGTTGTATCTGATGTTGCAGTAAAATGAGCAGGTTGTTACTCTTTGTGTTTTGATTTCTCCATCTTGTGTGTTGTATTGTTTAGAAATGGTTTATTCAGAGCAGCCATGATTGTCACATCAACAATAATGTGTCAGTGAATCTCCTGCTGGCTTAGATGAAGAAGAGTCACAACAGTAATACTTCCCCCGGTGAGGCTCCCTAAATAAAAGAACAAGGCGCAGACACGTCGAGAGACTACAAGTTCACTGCAACGTTTCCATGGCGCTCCCATCATCTCCTCAAAAAAAGTACTCTGATGAGGGCAAACTGGGAATTTACCCGCAGAAATAAAAGAGCAATTACATGTGAGATTCCTGTGAATAAATCATAAATCATTGTTTGTGGGAATCAGCGTGAACATGTGTGTTTGAGATAAACCGGGCAGTCCCTCAGAAACAAATCAACTGTGCTAGATCTGTGGCCTCAAAGTTTAGAGGGTTTTTTAAATGTATGAAGACACAAAAAACAGCAATCGGTTTCATCTGGGTCGAGCTGAGCAGGGCCAGTGTGTGGCTCCACAGCGCCACGCTGTGGTGAAAACAAAGACACACCGTGACACTTTGTGTTTTCCATATTTTATTCTGAATACTCACGGCTTCAGCAGCGTGTTTACACCACTTTTATAAGTATGACAAAATTGCACTGGCATACACTTTGGCAGCAATTGCATCTCACACACACAGACACACGACAGCCAGCAGTTCATCACTCTTTACTTTAGCGCACGTTTAAATATACAGCGTGCAAATACTGTTTTTGGAAATATACCTGGAGTGGATCATGTGCAGTGATTTTAACGTGTGTTAATGAATAAATAATGCACATTTGAGTACCATTACATCCCATTGGTCCAAACATAAAGCAGTATGTCATATAAAATGTAGGCCAACATAAAGTCTGTATAGTGCACGAACCACGGAGTGAAGAGTCGTCCCCCAGCTGCCCCAGGTTATATTTACTGTCTGCACTCGCTGGCACGAGGGACCCCCCCCCCCCAGTCTGGCCTGATAAGGGCATCTGATGCGTGTCGGTGTCTGAGCACCCACACTGTACTTGAGCCTCATATTTATTACAGTACACCAGCATGTATTCTTGGCTCTTGGCTCTGTAAATCCTCCAGAGACTCTTAGAACAAACAAAACCCAACGCCCAATTAAAAATGATAGAATAGCACAAAATATAGATCACAGTCTGAGTTTGCTGACTGGAAAGAAACAAACATTTGTCTTATCAAAAGGGAATGATCACTGTGATTGTCAGCTGCTATCAGACATTCTCAGTCTTGATGCAACTCAGGCACAGACCGCCTGCATCACAAGCTAAGGCACTCAATCTGGACAACACTAAGATGTAGAAATGATAAATAAGCCTTACAAAGAACAGTCTTAAGAATATGTAACAGCTTACATTTCTCTAACATTTTTGCCTTTTTAATTTAAAGGGCCAGTAACAAATTTGAAAGAGCCTTTAAGCTGGTCAACGGAGCATTTTCATGAGCTAAAACATCAGATATTTTCATCTTCCACACTTGCAACAGGCTTAAGGCAGCATGTAGCCCAAACAGGAAGCAGGCAGATTCTCACACTGCCCCTAATATGTGGGTCTTCATCAATACTTTGCCCCCAGTGCAGTGGTTCCATTAAGGATCCCCACCCAGCCATTCCCGATGTTTGGTCCTCTCAGCTTGTCTCGGAGCGCGCACTTTCACACTCGTCTCCACTTCACCGTCTCATTCTGTCAGTCACACATCGATCTTCTTCAGCTGCTCGTAAGTGAGGAAGAACTGGAGATGGAGTTAAGGAGCAAAATAAAAAAAGGAGGAGATGAACATTTTTCTGTTGAGGCTCACTGAGGAGTTCTGTGCTCTCTCTGTACTCGAGCTCAAAGCCTCCCTTGTTACTTCAGTCTGCTGTAACAAGTCAATAATCTCATTACTTTTTTCATGCCTGGTTGGAGCGCGGTGATGAGCTGCCAGCACTTCACTTCCCCCTGAAACCCTTTGGTAGTTCACACTTCTCTCCTCTTACACCCCCCCCAATAGAGGCCCCCATAGCTCCATTCTACACAGGTGAATTGGGGTTACATAAGAGAGTTAACTAGCATTACGAGATAATCTGTCCTCCACTCGAGCATGGAATCCTAGACGTCACCGAGTACATAACACAATTTACTAGTTTCCCGCCGATTTCTGCAGCTCCAGCAGGTATTGCATCACAGAGGGTTTTCTGTATGTAAACAGACTAATGGTGCTCTAATGAGATGGTTAAAGGATACGATGATGTTCCACGGTCCCAGACGGAGCCAGTTGGGGAAGAAGCCCTTGTAGAGGGCCATGAAGCCCTCGGAGCGCCACGTCTGGAAGAGAACAAACATGTTTGAGACCCTTTTATCTGATTATCCTCTGATGCTCACTCTAAGACCGTTTTTTGACTAGGATGGGTACAAATATCATCAGGTATGATTTGGCTATCCCTATCACATTAGATCTTGTGATTCTGACCTCAATGGCTGCTTTACATTTCAAAACAAATGATAAGTTTGACTTGAAGTCCCCATCGAGGATCATACAGAGTGCTGCAGGAATGACTCCTTAAAAATGAGTTAGGCTTTTTGCACTACTTGTTGCCCTCCTTTAGAAGTTTTTTGGGGGCATTTGTGGTCCGATGCCTGAAATAAGTTCTGTTATTAATACACGCTCGAATAGATCTTTACTGGGTTACCTCGCAGCTCCCCCACTACACTGTGTTCCTCGTGCACTATAGCTACGTGTTCATGGCTGCGGCCTGTATTGGCCTGGGCAGCTCCACAAAAAAACTAAAGCTATTTGAAAGTGTTGTTCTTTAACATAAATGAGTAAATAACCAAGTCTTGAATTTTGAAGCTAGAATAGATGCTGTGAACACGTGGCTGAATAAAACTACAGAGTTTGTCAGGGACGTTAAACATCATCAAGAGACGTTTAGATGTGATGAAGTTTAACTCATACAACCTTGTTTAGTTTATTTAAAGCCTAACTTCAGCTTTTAGTGACTGCATTTACGCTTCAAAAAATCATAAAGGTAGTGTTTGTGAAAATCGCACAGGTATCAAACTTCTATTCACCAGAGCGGATTTTCTCCCTTATAATATTCAATCAAATAGAAAAGCCGCTCAGGCTTTCGTTGAGGGTGTTGCTAACTTTGGGGCTGTCCAACAAAAATACATAACTCCTGCAGCACTGTTTTCCCTTAACGCAAACAATAATTGTTTTTTTTGTTGTTTTTCCATCCCTGCCTTGTCACATTTTTATAAACCATTCTCTGAATTTAAAAGCTCCCTCCAGAGCAACAGTGGACATCATACCACTGATTTTCACCAGCAGATTGCACATTTACAAAACATGAGAAGTGCTTCTTTAAAGTTAGTCTACAAACACAAACTAAACAGGATCACATGTAAGATGTGGATTTCGCTCCAGACGTGAACTGTGTCTGACCTGCAGTATACAGTCCAGTGTCCCCTGGTACAGAGATCCTCCTCTCTGGTTCATCATGCGTGTCCGGACTACGTCCACTGGGTTTGAGGCCAAAGCTCCCGCAAGACCACACACAAAACTAGACCTGAGGACCACAAGACAGATAAATATGATAAGTGATTTTGACCCATCATAAACTTGTGGTTCCAAACGTTCAATCTTTTCTGTGGTTTGTGCCGCAATGAAAACATCCTTGATTGAGACCCCTTGGTCTTATAACTACTAAAGAGAAACTAAATAGCAGAAAATACATCAAGCTTGCAACTAATCTACAGAGACTTTATAATTTACTCAGCTCAGTTGTGATAATCAAAAATCAATATGTTCAACAAGGCCATGTCTAATTTCTGAGTTCTATTTTAAGATGTTTAAATGCTCCTCTTTGACCAGCGATTTCGACCCGGTGATGTAACCATTTCATGTGAGACGTGGACGTTTTCCCTGTGACTCTAAAAACTCACAGAAAGTGTGTGTACACGGTGTCCCCCATGCAACCAGACAGGATCAGATGCTTCTTGGTGATGTCGTAGACCGGCAGCTCAACCCCGACCACGATGGCCGCTCGCTGAGCTGTTAGGGAGACGCCCTGATGCAGAAAAAGAGGATGTTGTAGAAGTCTGAAAGGACATTCATGGGCAGAAATGAAGCACTTATCAGGCGTTTCTGTACCTTCCACAGGCCTCGGGTTCCCTCCTCCTGGTAGATGTTGATGAAGTTGCCCATCATGCTGCCCTGGATCACATTTCCCTGAGCCTGCATGCGGATCTGGGAAGACAGGTGGAGGTAAAAGTGACATTTGAAAACATGAACAACCAGAGTGGAATGCTGCAGGTTCCCCAAGCTAAGAACAACCTTCATTAAGTCGAGCTCACTCTGGAATGTGAAAGGAAAAAGATTTTTGGCAAACAGAATGTCTTCAAGAATATTTTCTCTGGAGTTGCCTTGTTTTCATTTTAAATGACTTGCTGTTTTACAGATCAGCCTCAGTTTGCTTTGTAGCTGCCAGAGAAAAAAATCACAATGTTCCTAACCTGCAGCCACATTTATTAAGCCTGTTAACCCTTAAACACAAACTGTGGACATGAAGTCAGTAAGCCCAACAGAGCCTGGAGAGGAGACACTGGTCAAAACATGAGTACAGATAAGCATGCACACATCATATCTATGCTCTCATATCATTTACAGAACAGTATGTTAAGCTGTTGAGTCGTTGGCCTATAAATACTCAACGAATGGGGTCCTGATAGCATCTAGATGCCCTTCATTCGACTTCACATGTTAACGACCCCACCCACAGCCTGGAGCAAGATTTATGTTTTTCAAGGCAGTCTTCCTCGAGGCTGCATGAGAAACTACAGTTTATGTATACAAAACTAGTGCTCTGTTTGTCACTTTTAGAGTCCTGTGTGCCGGGAAACTGTCAAACCGGCTTTACTGCTCTGGAGAGCAACTCAAGGAAAGCTCATTTAAGCAGTAACGAACAGGTCCAAGGTAGTCTTTTTGTGTGCAATCAGCTACCTTCAGCACATCAGTGGGGTTGGCAATGGAGGAGGAGATGACACCAGAGAGAACACCACACATCACATTAGTCAGCAACGTCTCATCTGAAAGATAAGAAGAGTGGGAGGCAGACTGTTACTGTGAACAAGCAACATTTGATATGATGCACTGGGCAGTCAGCTGCAGTTTATCGTCACTCTCACACACACAATAAGCTCATGGTATGAAAGTAAGAGGACACCCTTTTAAATAGGTCACACGCACATCTGCAGCCCCCTCTCTTTATGAGGAATGTTGCATGTGTCACTGACTGTGGAAATGTGCGTGTGTGAAAGAGACAGAGGGAAACTAGGACTTACCCTCTGGTCTGTCAACAACCAGCCGCTTCAAGCTCTGGTATGTGCCAATTTTTATAGTCCCATAGGAGGCCTGGCGTAGAATGGCTGGAGCTATTCTGTAAAAGTCAAGTTTATTTTCATCACAGTTTAACATCATATCTCAGGGGTCTTCACACACATGCAACTGTGGCTCATGCAAAAAAATCCCAAAAGACTGAGCACATGTGGGGAGGAAAATACACCTCTAAGACAAGCCAGTGTTTGCCCTAGGTTTACAGCGTTGGGGGGGTGGGGACAAGCCGACACGGCGACACAAACACTTGAAGGAATCTTGGTGTTAATGCGTTACTTTTAATGACAGCTGTCCTGTTCTATCGGAAAGGTATCCTTAAATGACTTCTTTCCCTGATTTCCGACTCTATCCACTATCCTATCTCTACAATAAAGATACAAAAAGCCCCAAAAAAATCTTTAAAAAATAAAAAATGGTTTTCTTTTTTACTCTACCTTTAAGGGGGGCGGGCCCCCTAATATAATGATAGGGGAAACACTGCAAGCAAAGAAGTTGAACAAATCTTTGGCTAGATATTGGGAACAAAGGGTGGGCTACAGATATTGGGACAGTGACTTACAAAAACAGGAAGTGCACAAAAATGAGGAAGCGTTAACATTTAGAAATACAGAGTAAGTATCATTTCAGGGTTGGAAGACTATAGAGAAAGCTAAAACATATAAAAGGCACATGGACCCTCCATACTGACCCTGAATACAGAGCCCGGAGCCCCTCCTCTCTGCATATCCTCCCTATAGCATGGAGCATGCCTCTGTAGCGGATCTCTCGGTATTTACTGTCCCCCACCTGGCCTTGTACTTGAAGACGTGTCTTGGCCAGGTCGATTGGGAATGTCCCTGCAACACAAAACAATGGGACACACAGAGTCTATCACTCTATCACGACAGAGAGCTTAGTTATTAGCAGATATCCACGCAGCTCGGCCTCCCCGCCTCTCCTCTCATCACTCACCGCATTCCGCCGTCATAGACGCCAGCCCGCCGAAAACAAAGGGCTTCCAGTTGACGTTAGACATGTTTTTCTCCAGCCGTGTGCAGAGTGACGGTGAAACCTCCCAGCAGAGAGTGGGGAGCTGTACTAGAAGCCTGAAACTAATAATGCTTTCAAGCTTCAGCTGTTTCAATCCCCGCCGGCGTTTGAGGAGTTCAGCCTCGTGTGGCCCCCCCTGCCTGCCCGTCTTACAAGAAGCCCCGCCCACCGCTCCATTCATTGGCTTCTGTCTTCACTCGTCCAGCCTACTGATTGTTGCTAAGCGACCGTTGAAGACTGTAAAAAGAGCCACCGCATGATGAAATAGGCGTCATTGTTGCTTGGACAGTTTGACTTGAAGTCTTTCCCGCAAAATTGACAAAGTTTCAGTTTCGAATACAGATTAGTTTTACTGTTGCAAACATTACAGATTCATTTGTTTACATTTTTTCATGAGCTGGAAGTTTTCTGAAAGACAAATGCTGAGCAGTCAGGGAGTTCTCACACAACATACAGACTAAATGTTCATGTGCTGGACATTTTATAGTCTATATAGGCTAGCCTAACAATTTCTTCATCAGTCAGCCACTGACCCCACTTAGGTTCACATTAAAGATAACTTAAAGAGAGACTCAATCTTAACTACAGACATCACAGTTGTTAATGGCTTTATATTTAACTGATTTTCAACTCTTGCAACTTTATAGGAGAATAGGCTAGGCCTACTATTGCAATGATTCACTTGTAAATCACAGGTAGCAATACCAAACATTACATTAATTATCTATGAAGAAAATTCTTCTGTAATTGAACCCGATCTGTAAAAAAAAAAGTTGGTGAAAACTGTCTATGTTCTAGTTTTAAAAACTAAGAAATTAAAAAGTGTGTCATTTGTGTGCCTGCCCCCTGCTTCAGTCACCGTCAGTCCACAGTTGGCAGGAGTGTTAGAGTAGTGTGAGTGTGGAGCCCACTGACCCTGAATGCCATTCATCTTGAGCTGTAAATGTTCAACACGTGTGCCTGTGTGTGCCTGTGTGTGTGTGTGTGTGTGTGTGTGTGTGTGTGTGTGTGTGAGTGTGCGTGCGTGCGTGCGTGTTGTGCAGGCCTGTGGAGGGTCTCATGTTGTCATATTCAGTGCCAGACTGTGAGCTGAGGAGGAAGACTAGTTCACTAGGCCATGCGTGCCGGGCCCTTTTGTCAAACCTGGACTCACTGGAGTAAAGGTGAGCCTTTAAAAAAAAAATGGTTGAGTCTGAAGTAAAGAAAACTGTTGACAGGCATCTCGAACAACCCGTCATACCAACACAGTTTTCAGAGTAGCCTTTAAGGTACTCACAGTAGGCTACTAAGATAGCAACGATTACAATCTTTCATAAGGTCTGCTTTAAAGGGGAAGGAAAGTCGCTATGCCTGCTTTAGTCAACAAGCTACTCTTTTTAGCTGCCTCTTTTCTCCATCATTGAAACAATGAATATATATTATCAATAAATATGTCATTGTGTCTTAAAGGCTGAATCATGGGCCAGTACATCCTCATGATCTTGATATGCCACTGTGTGCTGCTGCAGACTCATATCAATAAATACTGTTAGTTAAAGGTCCTATAGCTTTTGTTGAATGTCTGTGAGCTGTGTTCACATAGTCAATATATAGAAAGGATATAAACAGCACACTGACCTACTTTTCTTTACAAGATTTTCCATCAGAATGAACCTACAGCTATATTACCACTAGACCTGTCAAATAGAATTGAAATAGTAAAAATGACGGTGCTTCCTAGGTTTCTGTACTTATTTCAGTCACTTCCTGTTGCAATTCCCGCCAAGGACTTCAGTGAGTGGAATCGGATGATTTCAAGATTTGTGTGGAATAGCAAGAGACCCCGGATTAAATATATTACCCTACAATTGCCCAAAGATAAGGGGGGCCTTGCACTCCCATGCATTGAGGACTATTACACTGCTGCCCAGTTAAGACCGCTTGTCTGCTGGTGCAACCCAGAGTACTCAGTCAAATGGAAAGATTTAGAACTGGTACATTCTGCATTACCAGAACAGTCTGTATTGGGAGATTATCAAAACCGGGAATCCTACCTGCGTGAACTAAACCAATGGACTAAGCTGACCCTTAGTGTGTGGTTCAAGACCTGCAAAAGGTTTCACCTTGAGAACCAAATAAAAATACTTAAATGTGTGACCCATGAATTAGATTTTTTACCATCTGGTTTAGACATGCAATTTAGACTCTGGGCGTGCAAGGTATAACTGCTTACTGCACTATAGCCAGTATTTATGACTTGAAATCTTTTAGCCACCTTTCAAATGTATATAACCTTGGAAGATGTGACTTCTTCAGATACCTCCAGGTCAGGGACTATTTTAACAAAATTATTAAACAGACAGAGGAAAGTGAATCTGACTTGGTTAACATATTTATTGAGGCATATAAGGCTAGAGGTGTCAAACATCTAATATCACTGATATATAAGGGATTACAAAATTCCAAAAAAACACCGTACTGCTCAGGTCAGACAGAAGTGGGAGAGGGAATCCGGCCAGGAGACATCTGAGGACGACTGGAATGACATTTTGAACAATCAGGTCACAACAACCTGTTCAAGGGCCTGGCGGGAATTCTGCTGGAAGAACTTAATTTGTTTCTTCATAACCCCAAAGTTGAAGTTTTTGCAGCAGGGTTCTCAGGGTCAGAACAAATGTTGGAGGCAATGTGATAAATCAATGGCAGATCACTTTCACCTATTTTGGGATCGCTCACAGGTCCAGCCATTTTGGAAGGAGGTTACAGAAGTAATGAGTGTTATGTTTAGAATAAAAGTGGAATGCTCTTTTATCATACTATACCTATAGGCAAAATCCCGGACAATCTCATGTCAGATGATAAATATCTGTATAAAGTCCTTCTGGTTGCAGCTAAGAAAGCAATCACACGGAGATGGCTGCAGGCAAACCCCCCATCAAAAAATGATTGGTTAGCAATAATCAACGAAATACACTGCATGGAGAGACTGACCTTCTCATTAAGGCTAAAGTTTGACCAAGTCTGGAAGACATGGAATATAAACTGTACAGAATGTAACTCTTCTTAATTGAAAAACCCTGATTTGTGTATTTTGACTAATGTATGGCCCGTGTTACCTTCTTTCTTTCCTTCTTTTTTTATTCCCTTCTTTTCTTTTGTCTTGTTTTACTGAAAATATCAATAAAAAGAATGTATCAAAAGAATGAACCTACAGGTTGCAGGTTGGGAGTCCATATTTGTCTCTGCAGATCTGTCTTTCTATAGATCTGTTTTTAAAGCATAACATTTATCAAATTGTGTTTTTATAGCAATTTTTCAAGATTTACGTTGAACCGACATTAATTAGAATACTCAACTAATTTATGGGTTAGAAATAACCCAGCAATATAGTTACAATTAACCACAGTTTGGGTTGAATATTTGACCCATTTGGCTCAGTCGTCCATCTTGCTGGGTTAAGTTAACCCAGCGTTTAGATGGTCCCCAATTGACCCAGCAGTGTAATTGTAAACTACCAAGTCTGGGTTGTCTTTAACACAGCTTTTTTTTAAGTGTGCTCTATAGATAGAGTACAAAGCAAATGAGGGGCGTGGCACATTACATTACAAAATGTAATTTGAACAATGTATGAAATGTATCAACGAATAACATGTGTTTTGTAATATCTTCTATTGAAGGATTGAGGTCAAGTTCAACCATCCCCAACAGCCTATCACCACCAAGACAGTCACCAGTATACACGTAATCAATGTCTGGCAGACATAGTTCCTTTATAACCCCTTTGATTACAATTTCCCATACCCCTCCAATACCATCTATTTACATTATTGTGTGATTAAAATGTTGTTGCTTCTGGTAAACTGAATGAATATGTTTTTTTGTTTTATCTTTCTTCTTAAACTCATTAAACTATCTTAAAGAATGATCTGCACTGATGTAGATTAAGAGCACAACAGTTTATAAAGTAAATTAATGAAACCTTGAACACACAGCAGTCACAAACCTTCACATTAATGCAGATGAAAAACTAAACATCCTTTGTTATTGTCACACACAGAAAGAGAACGTTTTTCATAAAGGTGCATACTTTTTCTTCTTAAAGTTTGAGTTTATTTTGATTATACTTTTACACTTTTATTTAAATACATCTTTAGAATAATGTTACAGCACATTATTCATGTCAAAAGTTCAAATTACGTCTTTCAACGTTGAATGTACTTCACATTTTTAAGTACACCCACGTCATTGTATGACAAATCTTTAGGACCCTTGGTAATAAATTGATAAACAATCCCAGAGCAATTACCAATGAATCGGATCATGTAAGCCAAACAGGACAAGCATACCACCTGTTTTAGGTGTCACTTCATTAAGGAGGATCTGAGCATAATATGGACATTAATAATGGACATGCAGCATCAATCAATCTTTATTAGAAAGAAATTCATAACGAATTGTATAACAACAGCAGGAAAAAGACCTTACTCTTGCTATTATCTTATCTACAAAGACCCACCATTAATCCATCATGAGCGCAAAGCAACATTTAGCAAAGTCACAGTAGCAAAAGAAAACGTGGAAATCTTCTTTTTATTTAAAATATGTAACTAAAGGGAGGTTAATACAATGAAAACAACAGTCAGAAAAAGATTTAATTATCAAAAAAAGGCTTGAATATCAAAAAAGTAGTTGGAAGACGAATGAACTTATCAAATCTCACTCTTTCTCCATAACTCATGGATTGATAACTATCCAGCTTCCTTATTCATGTAAACACACATGAAATTGGAAATAAGTGGAGAGGCATGGGTCAAAATTTCCTCAGAAATTCATGAAGTCACCAATGCAAACATATGGAGAGAATTCCAGTGGAAAATAGTGAACAGATTTTTCAGAACACCCTACATCCTTTCAAAAATAGACCCCAGTAAATCAAGTTTATGTTGGAGGAATTGTGGAGAAGAATCTGCTAACTTTGCTCAATATTTTGGGACTGTCCTCTCCTAGAAAACTTTTGGAGACAGATTTTTGATTCTCTAGACGGAATATTTAACCTCCACCTACCAAGAGTCCCTCTACTGGCCATCCTCGGGGGCTGTCCCAGAAACCATGAAAAGCAGAATAAAGATTTATTTATTACATATACTTCTCGTAGCAGCCAAGAAGGCAATAA